ATACTATAAATCAGTACATTTGAGGCCCCTGTAATTTCTTTTTGATCTACAAATTTCCTATAGAAAACTTTAGAGAGGCAATGGTTTGAAGCTAGAATACTCTTTACATGCTAACTTTTGAAAGTTGGTAATGTAATTTATACTATTTTCCTTCAGTGCAGGAGATTTTTTTAATAAGTAAATTTTAGCACATAGTCTTTGGCATTAGATATTTTTTTATTTTGGACACTTCGAGCGATCCTATTTCAAGTTGGGATTTGGAAGAACAAAACGTTCATTTTATTTTTCCTTCACCATTCTAATGAGTTTGAGAAGTTCAAATGACCAGGACTACTCTTTCCCCATCCCTTGCTACTGTTTCAATTAAATCTAGCATCCACTGTTGAAAGCCTCAAAAAAGGGGGGGGGGGCGGGGAGTTATTTCTAAACTTTTCTCTGCCAAGTCATTTTCCTGCTGTGAAAACTGACATGACTGTGGAAAATGAGAATCACTATCTTAGAAGATGTGAAGTAATCAAGTTGCTTACTTGAGGTTAGTCTCATTGTATATTAGAACCAAAAACTATAACAACTTTGGCACTGGGGAGTTGCCTAGATTCAATTTTCAGAGGTCTCGTAATGATAGTTAATATTGCTAATCATGTCAAACACTTGACATGGAAGTCAGTGGCAAAATCTTCAAAATGCTTATGATATTGGCAGAAATATTAGTGTGGTGTTTCATAAGAGATTTTAGAATCTGTAAAATTTTGTTTTAATTCCATGAATGATTTTTTTTAAGTGCAACTTTAAAGTTTTAATTTTTCTATTTAAATAAAAAGTTATTGATATGTTTTAGCATGTCCTCACAATAGATTTCTGTATTTCTTAGAGATACTGTCTTCACACCTCGAATTCCTACAATACAAATTCAAGTTTCTCTATAGTTCATCCGTGAAAATTATTTGACCTTAAAACAGAACTGCTGAATAAATGGCAACTCAAAATATAACAGCATTATAAAAGATGTAATTGAAGTGACTATAATCCTTGTCTACCTTTAATGATCCCATCAAGTGGGATTTAGTTACCAAAAGGTACTGTACAGTCTGAAAGCACAGGTGATGGGAAGATTTTGTTACAAGAGTTCTATGTGAATATTTTTAACCTATTAGATTAGGTTTCTAAATTTTCAGTCTGGTAAAAGCTGAAATGTCTTAGAATATTGGTTCTGTTAGAGTTAAACAGAAATGTTCAAAGAGTTTGAACGAATGTGTTCAAACAGGAAAGTGTGTTTATTTTCAGATAAGGGGAAGTTACACATTTCAGTTAAGCATCAGACTCTTCGGTAAATGTTGAGGGTTTTCCCTCTGTATCTCAATATTAATGAATTATTGGATTAAATTTACTAATAGATTTATTATCATAATAGTAAAAATCAGAATCTCCAATATTTGATGTTTTTATTTTCTCCCAGTCCAGTAATTCCTGTATGGGAAAATTGAATTTGTATGAAAAGTCAAGTATGATGAATCCTTTGCACTTTCCCAAGTTTATTTAACTTAATGCTTTTAAATAAAAGCAATGGTCCTACTTTTTTTTTTTTTAAACACAGCAAGGCTATTTCATTATTACCCAAAGCAGCTTCAAAAATAGATTATTTAATGTTTTTCAACAATAAAAACTTCACTGTTTATGCCTCCCAGTAAATTTGAAAATGATATGTCACAGCTTGACTTCGCTAAATGGGCCTCATTTTATACAGCTATAAAAAAAAAATGGCCTAGAGTAAGGCCTTATTAATTCATAGTGGTAGAGTGAAGAAACTGTAAAAACAGAAACATCTCTGTATATTTTTCTGGAAAGACAGTCCATAATTTTTTTTTTTTTACCAAAGGGCCTGTATTCTGTGTTAAGAAGCATTTGCCTAGATGATCCTGGTTTTCTTCCAGTGTTAATGGTCAACTCAGTGCTGACTAGGCAGCCACTTTTCTTTTTGCATCCAGAAAGGGGTAGCCATATAGGTTTTTTGTTTTATTTTAAGCTTAGATGCTATTTGAGAGAGAACGGTTTCTAATCAAATAGTACCCAGGGAAGAGTGATGAATGCTATAAGTTTATAGAATATTTAAGAATATTATGTAATTTAAATGTAAATTACAAAATAAGGAACCAAATAAACATTTCTAAAAGCAAAATGAGGCAAAGCACATTAATTCCTTGTATCTTAAGTCAGACTTTTCTTTTCCCTTGGGGATGTATCTCTCTCAGTATCAGGTACAATTTTAATTCTTTTATATTCTCTTAAGTAAACCACTCATTTTAAATAAAGGAAAAGCAAAATAATGTCATGAGTAATTTTTCATGGAATTGCGTTCTAAATAGGCTTACAGTTTTACTTTATGGTTCTGGTGATGGCATATACCAGTCTAATAATTCTTACCTTCTTTATTAAATCTTACCTTGCTCTTAAGTTTCTCAGTTGTGTTAACTTAAATGGTGGTCAGGTTCCTTGGAGACAGGGATTTGTGTTTCATTCACTGCTATATCCTGTGGATTAGAACAGTGCCTGGCACACTGTAGGCATATATTGAATGTATGTAAAATAGTTGACATACACTCATCCAGCGTCCATGGTACCCAGCAACTGTATTATAGGGCTTGAAAAAGCATCATCGCAATAAACTGTACTAATCTACAACTAAAGCCACATACATAATTGACGTGCACTGAAGATAAGTTCTAGTGGCTATATCTTAACTTTTACTACAGAAATTTCCAAAAGCTTGTTAGAACATGTAACTTCCATGTGGTTTCTGAGTAGGAAAGAAAATCCCTTGTGATGATTTGAAATGTAGCTTTTTTTAATATTCATAAATTAAGATACCACAGTACTTTAAAAGTAGTAAACTTCTGTTTGAAGAGTTAATGTTTAGCTAGGTCAGAGTTAGTCTTTAAAGGCCATGCTTGGAAACAGCAGCAAAATTCCCAAATAATTCTAAATTGAGAACTAATCATTTCAGGCTATTTCCAACAAAGGGTGAGGTTTGGGAAGTGAGATTTTGCCGCAAGTACCTGCACACTCCCTCTAGCCCTTCATTTTATTTAGCGTGTCTCCCTGGCCTAAGTTCCTTAATTGTAGATTTTCTGTGCTTTTCAAAAAGTTGTTATATAGAAATTGCTTTTGTGACTCAATATGATTTACACTTCAAGGCCATCTCATTGTTAATGATTGGTAATTGCCCCAGGTGTGATGGCCTAGATTGATGTTTCCATTTCAGGGGAGCTAGCTAACAACCCCTCACCCCACTTAGACTGAAACAGAGTGGCTGCCTAATCAGATCATAATCCAACTAAGCCATTTCTTGATGCCCTTTTACGCTGTTCCTTGGGGTATCTAAAATGTGCTATTTGTAAATACCCCTTTATCTTGGTCCTGCCTGAAACTTGGTAGGTTTGTTCTCTTGCCTGCCTCTCTACAACTGAAGATTTGTTCTGAAAGGTGAGTAATAATAAGGGGGAACAGGTTTCTGTTTCCTGTGTAATTACCAGATTTTCTCGTTTATATATAGTTCTGATGTAAAGAACCTAATATATAAATTTAGACCTTTTGTAAATAAATATATTAGAAAAATGGCATCTTTTACTAAGTTGGATTTGTGTCAGCTTATCAACACTTCATGCATTTGTTTCTTCAAATTTTTTTCTTGGAATTAGATTGGGTATTAGTTTTAAGAGAAATGAAAAACTATCAGATTAGTCCTTTTGTATATACTGAGCTGATCATCTTTGTAGACATTTCTGATAAAAATTTTAAAAATGTCTTTGAGCTAAGAGCTGTTTTACCAAATATTAAAGCTAGTAGGTATGCCAGTTATAAAACTATCATAAGAGTAGGTCTTGCAGTGTAAAAAGGAAATTTAACAAAATCCAGTATGTTGAACCACAGTCAGTGATGGGTATCAAGTCCCATTCTGTGCTAAGCATTGTTGAGTCAGCAGGGTCCCTTGGGCAGTCATTGAATTTTAGTGGATTAGAATTTAGATTTTTAGAGGATTGGGAGTTGGGAATAAGGAGATTTAGTTCTGAGTCACTGGTAAATATCTCTAAAAGTGGGTATTAATGGTATATAATGCCCCATACCTAACCATATCCATCTCATTTGAACTTACTGCTGTGCTTTGGGTTTGAAAACGTTTTGAGTTTGTAGAATATTAAAGATATTTCTTTTACCATGAGGCACAAACTAGAGAATTTTACTAACTGGAATTTAACTTTCCCCCCTCTTTATAAAATAAAGCTTCAACTACAATGTATAACTAACTGTGGTGCAGTAAGAAGAGTGCTAAATTGGTAACAGACAGACATAATACAATAATTCATGCCTCTGTAAGAAAGTTATTTTGAGGGGCACCTAGGTGGCTTAGCTTTGGCTCAGGTTATGATCTCAGGGCCCTGGGATTGAGCCCCACATCAGGCTCCCCTGCTCAGTAGGGAGTCTGCTGCTTCTCCTGTCCCTCCCTCCACTGTTTTCTCTCAAAACCTTTAATTTAAAGTTTTAAGCCACTTGACCAATTTTCTAAAATACCAAATTTCCTTGCTTTCCTAAAAAGAATATACTGAACGTTGCACAGTCTGATGATTTGGAATTACCGTTAAAAATATCAGCATGTTTGGGCAATGGAGGCCAAACTGCTTGTATGTACCTTGCCAACCAATGTAGTTGTTGGTTGCAGGGTTACCTCTATGCAGTCCACACATAACCTGTCCGTATACACACAACAAATTTGGGGGTGGGGGTGGTGGTGGTAATATCTTTACCAAACACCAGTGTTCTCTGGAAGCAGTAAATTGGTAAGTACAATTTTGGAGACGTATCCGTCACTACCAAAATCTATTAGGTTATGTTCCATACAGCAAGTAATCAAGAGTTTGTATTGTGAGGGCAAACAGAAGATAAAAGCATATAAAACCAATAACCCCCCCCCACTAAGGTATGCCATTCAAAGACTACAACATATTACAGTATAGTAGTGTAAATAGTTTATTTGCTCATATGTCATGAAAAGATGAGAAAAGTAACATGAACTGCTTTTTTATAAAACATTTCTAATATTGCTAAGAAGCAAGCCCATTAATAAACAGAAAAGAACATGCCAACATTATTGTCTATTTGATTAATAAATATGCAATTACTTTAATATATGATTAGCATTTAGCTTTGGAAAACAGCTCCTTGTCATAAAGGGCCAACTATTCGTGGTGTATCATGGTCAAATTGCTTTTTTCATCAAAATCAATGTTAACAGACAAAATCTTGGCATGTTCTTTTTTAAAGTACACATTCAAGAAAATGTGCTAGCAGGTGGCAGTTTTAAAAGTAATTTTTTTGTAAATAGGTATGCTAAAGTGAAATGTAACTGATCCCTAAGCTGTCCTTGTAGTTAAATATATATATTAAAAAAAAAAACTATAAGTTAAAATAACATTCAGATTGTATAGCACAGGCTGATGCATTTTTAAACAATATTTACAATATTACCCAGAGGCTTAGGTGGGAATTAAAGTGTAAAAACCATAAAAAACTGCACCAATTTTATAGCAAAATATCTGTACATTTAAAAAGAGATCATATAACTACACATTATCCAAGGAAAATGGGACCTTCACCAAGGAGTTCACATAAGCACAACATAAAATAAGAAATTCAGTGGTTAAATACTATACAATAAACTTTACAATTAATATATTGATGTACCAAGAAGGTAAGCCAGAAGCAGAATGTTTATTATGAAAAGTACAAATCGGCTTTAGTCCAGTTTTTGCCTTTGGAATGGATCAAGTGCCCTGCCAGAGAGGAAGGAAAAATAACTGGCTTAGTTTGCCGTTTAGTCCCATTACATACCATTTAAGCTTAATCCCAATGTGAATATTTCAAGCAATTTAATTGCAATTCCCCATAAAGCAATGATGCCAAATATATCTTATCCGATTTACAAAAGGAGGAAGAAGTGGGGGTGGGGACCTGCGATTGTCAGGAGAATAAGGCTAGGTTAACTATCACTACTAGCTAGTAGAAGTAATCTTGAATGCTTGATAGAGCTAGTGAACTTCTCCCTGGCTAGCAAGGCACCAATTTCTGTTCTCAGGATAGGCCCATAATGGTCTCAGAAATCCTAATACTGATTACTGAGATGTTAATTTTACTGCTAATTAATAAATACATTTGCATTATTATTTTAAAAGCTGCCTCTAGCTGAAGAACACAGTACTGCAAAAAAAATCTTACACAAATTTGTATGCCATCATACCCTTGCTTTCATACTGGTGAACTCTCCCGGGGCATCACACCCTAGCATAGCAGTGTAGAGTGTAAAACGAGACACAGCTGAGTGACTTCTTTGCCACTGCAATGCATCCTGTTTGTACTGTGCTGGGGCTTGGTTATGGACAGGAGCTTAAGTGACTTTTTCCTTCTTCCATGTTGCAAGCCCTTAAAAAGACAAAGTTGATGGGTATGTCTAAAACAAATGCAATTCCTTAAAAGACATCTCAGCAAAGGAAACCCACAGCAGATGCATCCATGTTATTTACAACTTATCAGGAAACCAGGGTGTGCCATCATGGGACAATCACAATGGCAGATAACGAGTGTAATACGAAATTTACATTTTGGTTAAAAAATTGGATAATATACTGGTGTAAAAAGATACCTAATCAAATCAAACCCTATTGCTTTGATTAATCTGAGCAGGTACTTCCACTTTTAGGCACTTGTTAACAAAGGTTGAAAGGAGAGCCCGTCATTTTTAAATTCCTATGTGTTTGCTAAATCTGAGCCCTTAGAATATTTTGTCAATGTTCAAGGTTGCAGTTAAATGGTAGCACGTAAAGTTCATGTGGAAAGTTTCATTCACGCATACTCTCTACTCATAGAGGCAGGTCTCAGGTTCACATGGTTATCTCGGCACCATTAACAGAACGCAAGTTCTGATCATCAAAGCGCCGCCTGACACTTCTCCTCACCGCATCGGCTCGTCTGTATGGTTGGTTTCTAAGATCTGTAAAGAGGAGAGTATCAGTGAGAGAACTGCAACCTTTAGCATCATGTGTCTAAGCAAAGACAAAGGTCAGCTGGCAGCCAATCAAAGCAGCTTCTGTAGGAGAGTCAGCCAACAGGCCCTTCAAATCCATTGACTATTTGAGCCAAAGACATGTACTTTGCCCTCAATAGTTAAAGCAGGATGTAATACTGATGCGAATCTGGAACTTCTAGAAAAATATATAGGAAAGGCAACTATTGTTGTCACTGGCCAGAGAATCTAGCTGGCGTCTTATTCTGAAATGTTTCTTCAGTTGGAAATAGCTGTGGCTTAGTTTTGTCCTTTTTTTCCCCTGGAAACCTGAATATCAGTAATTGTAATGAATTTTAAACTGCAAAATTAATAAACCAACTGCCCTGTCCAATCTTATCTGGAATTTTAATCAAGGAAGGACACTATGCTTATTTTGTAGGCAGAGGTTCCGTTATTTTTCTTCAATTAGTATTAGCTGAGGTCTGTTTTTTATTTTGTGAAACACAATGCTCAATTAACCACTAAACAAAAACAGTCACTAAATCAAAATACTACTCCATTCCTGTACATTGTCTCCTGCCACCCAGTATTTCCTGTTTTTCATTGGAGGGGAGAAGTTTGGGCCTTCCAGCATTGTCCAATTTGTACTGCGAATGCACAGAATGTTTAAAAATGCCTAACATAAAAAAAAAAAAGCCTTGTTGAATGAATGAATCAACCACTGCATATTGGTTCAAGCAGGCACTGCTCTAGCAGAATACAGTGGGATGAACAAAGGAATTTTATTTTATGTAAGCATTCTTAATATGAAATCATGCTTTCTTGATGAATACTTAAGGTAGGTAGCCTAGCCAGCAGGTAAGCTGCTTCTGATGGGGTCAGGGCAGGCTGTGTACTTCTCCCCCCCCCCGCCACTGTTTCATTTAGTTAGTATTTATTTCCCTTCGTATTGTTGACTTCGGTTAGGAAACATTCTTTCGAAGGGGGAACATAACAGAATTAAACCAGATTGAGTCTTTTTTATTCCTTTACCTACTCAGGAGCTTGAAAATGGAGCTAATGGGCCATATCTGGCCTATAAAATATTTAGCCCCCAACTTATACTTTTAAATACAGCTTCCTTATCTTTTAATAGATAGTATTAAAAAAAGAGGGATTCTGACTTCCCTTGGAAAACTGGAGGGTCTGGCAATACTGAGCCCAAATTTTCACATGGCAGAAAGAAATGAGTTGAGTGCTGAGACCCATGCTCTCAGGTTCAGCATAGTCCGCACCAACTCCCGACCCCTTGGAATTTGTCACCCTGCCTTACTCTTTCTAAATTCAAGGGAAGAATAGTTTTACATGCCCTAATCCTCTCAAGCTTCTGCTTCCTGGCCCAGAGTGGTAAGGGAAGGTTAGAATTCCACTTCTGGCTAAGGATATGCAATGACTTGTAGCTCTATAATTCCCGAGTCTTCTGAACAATTGGCTCTAAAGATCCAAATCTTTCTTCAAAGGCTATACCCTGGCCAGGACTTGGCTCTCAGCTTCTTCAGATCCAAAGGGGTTAACTGATTAACTTGAAGGCCAAGAAAAGGGTAGGGGAAGGACAGCCTAGCACCCAAAGCAAGTACAATCACCAGCAAATACCCTTGCCCAAGCCATCACACTTGATAACATGGAAGCAAGCCACAAGGAGTCCAACAGAGAAGCTCCGCCTCACATCACTGGAATGTGAGGTTACAAAGACTTCCCCCTTGTCAGACTCTCAACAGTATTACCCTCAGCCATAGACTGAAACCACTGATCTGCATACAGAGAGAGGAGGAAGCTAAGTAAAAAGTGATGCTTGCCAGCTCTGTGTATCCTCCACCACCGGTGTGCTAGAAGAAATCCTTACCCTCGAGTGAACATTTGGAAATTTAGTGATATTATTCTTCTTTAAGGCTAAACAGAAAAAAAACAAAAACACAAAATGATGGTTAAGTAAAAATGGGATGAAAACGGAAAGCAATTCAACTTAGTGCTTAACATACCCGGCATGTTAGCCAACAGAGGAGGAGAGTGGGAGGCCATTAATACAAGAGGTGTTAGATAAAACAAGGGAAAGATCAGAGTATCTTCCCACCCAGCTCTCTGACCACCCAAATCCAAGCTGCTTTGAAGTTTGGCTCCAGAATGATAAGACAGTCCAGCAGCAAAACTGACAGGAACATTAGCTGAGTAGATGACAGTGTCTAGCCTGGTTAATAAGCACTGGTGGGTAAGTACACTGCAGAGCAAGCAACAACGACACACCACATCCTCTGATATCCTAAAAGACAGAGGAACATATGTAACAAGTGCAATTCACAGAAGAGTTAATGCCACAAAACAAACACGTACCCTGTTCCATGTCAATCTCAGCATGGGAGTTACATAATGGATATTTCCAATTAGAGTATATGCTTCCCTTGTCCCTTTTCTAATCAACTGGGCACTGCAAAGAAGTTTCTTATGTAGCCATCGGGAACCAAGGGCAGGCAGTTACCTCTTGAAAATTTTGGGATTTTTTAATTCTAACAGTGGCATTTTCCAATAATAGGTATTTGCTATTAGTATTTCTGGTTGCCACCATCCTAACCAAAAACGCAGGTCCAGATATGATCTCATCACAAGAGAAATACCCTGGATTTGACAGGGAACAGAGCCACAGTGAAGAAGCGCGAATGAGAGAAGACTATGGGAAGCTCCTAAAGCCTTTGTTTTCACTTTCTGCCTCACAGCCTTGCTCCAACGTGGAACTGCTGATAGCCTAACTCGGGCATGACACTCAGAAGGAAAAGAGGCTGAGTATAAAGCTATGGATTGCCTATTTCAACTTATACAGACTTCTATGTCCAAAGGGCTCCTTGCTTGTACCGTGAGCTCCATCATACTATGGATGATGGCTGTAGACAGTATAAGACAGTTAAGAAAGACCCAATTTACAACTGTGTGTAGTTCACAATTCCTTCTGCAAATCATTTTTCAACTTTTGGGCATTTTGTGTTCCTGAGCACTTGCCTACAGCTCAATTTATTATCAAAGCATGGTAACTGAATACAGAAAGGAGGCTGGTTTAATATCTGTAAACCCATTAAAACACAGCAAGTGCTCAATAAATGTTAGGTATAGTAGTTACTGTTATTAACGACTATCATTTTGTGTTCAAAGACATTAGCCCAAAAGTCTTTTAACAACCTAGCTGATCCCAATGCTAATTCTCAAAAGTAGTGCTCTATTTATACTATTCTAACCCACACACACTCAGACCACCATAGCCATGTGGATTCATAGACATATTGAAAGTGGCAGTGAGTAAACAGTAATGACTGACATGCAAAACCATGCAGTGTGAACGCAACATAAAAGATAACATGGCAGAGATGGCGATTCCATGCTAGCTAGCATCCTGGGTGGCCCTAACAGACATACAGAGGGACATAAGAGGTCAAAAAATCTGTAGCAACCTTTTAAGAGCATCAGGTGAGAAAGAGTAATAGTTTAGTAATGGTATTCCTCAGTGAGAACAGGTTCGCAGAAAAATCGAGAGCCACGCTTGGCGGTGCGAGCGGTAAAGGGCACAGTCTTCAGCACTGCATCGAAAATGACAGCCAAATAAGACAAACAGAAGAGAGTAAAAAGCCAGGATCTATCACATTAGTACATGGTTAGTGCTTTGTTAATCATACCTGGAGATGGGGAAAGGCAGTTTATACCCAAGGGAGTTCATAAAGTCTAAAAGAGGTATTCAAACTGGGGCTCGGGGGGTGGAAAATGGAAAATATTTTAAAGAGAATAAAAACTGTAGGATCTGTGAGCAGATACTCATTCACCTCCAGTAGTAGCTTAACGATGAGATCAGGCAAATAGAAACTGTACATTTTGCTCATTTGACAAGCCAGGGGTCACTGAGATGGAGAAACAGACTAATGGAAAAGGAACTCTTACTGTGTGAGGCTGGATGCTTCTCTCCCTACAAGTTAATCATACTGTGGCACTAAGCCGAATAGGTGCTTACCCCAAAAAGATCTGCTCCTAGTCTTGCTCACAGCAGAGCTGCTCCCTCAGGGCCGGGGAAACAAAGAGAGGTGCCCAATAATGGGGACTTTACCTGGGGGGTCACGTGCAAACCACTGCCGAGTGAACGATGAGATACGGGCAGGCACGTGCATATGGACTGTGTGTGGCGCCATATGCAGACACAGGCGTTTAATCAGTCACTTACTTAGCCACTGACGACTGAGACTGCTTTACTCTGGGCCGGAAACTCTTTATTGACTTCCTGTCCGGGATTTATGTACCTATTTTATTTCCTTGGGTCTGAGCTGGTGGAAAAAAAACGGTGGTTTTGGCCGTTTGGGATCCCTAACTATGTGAAGCTATTCACAAAAAATGAGAAGTCAAAATTCTAAGAGTTACATTTAAAAAAAAAAAAAATTAGGACAGCTAAGGAAATGTGACTAATGAGTATTTGATGTGAAAAAGTTGTTAGTTTTGGAGGTGTGTGACAATGATACTCTGTCTGGCTATGTTTGTTTCTTTATTAAAGGGTCATTATCTTTTGAAGACACAGACACTGAAATATAACTAGATGAAATTGTAGGTCTTAGATTTGCTTCAAAATAATCCCAGGGGTTGGGGAATGGGGAGCAGGCAGAAGCAGACATGTAACAAAGACCAGCCCTGAGTTGGGAACTGTTGATAGGTTGATATAGAACTCATCATGCTATTCTCTGTACTTTTGCATTGCATATTTTTAAAATTCTCTACAATAAAAAAAGTGATAAGTATCTTGGGAGCTAAAAAACAGTATTCCTATGCAACAGACATGAAAGTCGCTTGCAGCCACTGCCACAGACAGTGGCTCAAATTATTCTCCCAAACTGTAAGAGAACGCAGAATCTCTGGAGAATGGCTTCAAGCAGCAAGCATTAGGCTACAACTTAATCAGACAAGAACCAAGCTGGGTTGGGCACCACTCATTCCTAGGTGACAATTCTGATTTCCTCTCGTCTTCAGTTACATCAATGAGTAAAGCGCCTTTTAAAGAGCATGCTGGAAAAACCTGCACTGACCATGGTTAGTTAGTATGCAACCCTGAATGGGCCTTGTCCGTGGTACTTATTAGGCAGGCAGGCAGGCGGGTGGGAGTGGCCACAAAGTAGGAAATGGAGCAGGGAAACAAATCTAAGACACTGGAAAAACCATCAGGAGGAGGAGCCTGGTGAAATCTGCAGGGTTCCAATGATAACGAGGAAGAGTCTTCAGAGGGTGCTGGGGTTTTCTGACAGGCAGTATGCAGCCTACTAAAAATACACTTGAAGTGTATTTTTTTTTTTATGCGGAGTCCCTCCACATAATTCTGGATCTGCATCAAGTCACCTGAAGACCTTGTAAACCCTGGACAAAAGTAGCAGCGCACTGTGCAAGTAGTCCACTACGGGCAGGATCAGTGGGTCTCTATGGGCCACCAGGAGAAACTATCTTTTACCTGTGATAATGTCTTCAATGGCACCATCTTTGCCTTCATATACATGTCTGTTATCTTTCACTTGTCGCCTTCTTAATTCTGCAATTAATTCTTGCTGCTGCCTCTTTGATTTGTGGGAAGGAGACTAAGGAGAAAGAAGGATGGCAGAGATTAGTGGGACCAGCACCCATGGGAGGCTTTAGAAAACCCCAAGTTCTATCACGAACACACAGCCTCGGCCAAAAAACACAAGCAGCACCATCCCAACATCCTGCTCAGAGACACACTCAGAAAGCTTCTGGGAAGAAAACCAACTTTGTCTGAAAAATACACCAAACTCCAGCTGGCGGCGGTGGGAAGGCTGGATCGTATGGCCACAAGAGGCGGCTGGTGACAACCATCCACTTCTAAAGCTTTGGGGCAGCGGATTGGGATGAAGAGTACTCTGACCTGCCAGTCTTTGTGGTCTTCACCTACACTGCTTCCCTCCAGGGAATCCTCCCTCCCGTTCCTCGGAGTGAAGCCGGCCAGCGATCGAGGCCAGCACCAATGGCGACCCCATGAAGCCTTCCTGGACCCTACGCAGTTCATCGTCAGGCTACCTGGCGCGGCCTTGCTGTATAGCCACCTGAGATTTAAGTTCCTGATCTCTAAGAACCTGGAAAGGCTATGCAGATGCGCTCTTCCCCTCTTTCTACTCTTTGCGGAACAAAGGAATGAACAAAGCCATCTGCCACGTTTCCAAGCCCTAGAAGAAAGCTGTCGGGCTCGTGTGTAAATCCGGCTTTTTGGCCCTTTTCCCTGCTGGCGCCAAGGAGACATGAGGCTGTCTCAGGACCTGGCCACTTCTCACCTTTGGATCCTGCTGCTCCATCAGAGCTTCCTGCTCCAGGAGTTTTTCCATGAGTGCTTGTTCCTGCTTTTTCCTCAGCTCATTTTCCTCTTCTGCTTGCTGGGCAAAGTCAAAGGAACCAAAAGATTATGTCAGTGGAAATGACAGCCATCAAGGTTTTCTAAAGTCATTCCTAAGAGAATCTTGGCAAGCCAGAAGTCAGAACGCACGGGAAGCTGACAAGACCTACACTTAGGCCCCTTGAGGACTCTGATCCAGGCTTTCCCTGTTTGGTCTCTATCACATCTCCTCAAAATCCAGCAATCTCGAGGTACCTTGTCCAGAAATCCTTTCCTGAGGACCACCTCCCCACTCACACTGCTTCTCAGCCTCAGTCCCACAGACGTGGACGGGAACTCTCCTTCTGGCAGCTCTGCTCTGTGATTCCCACGTGAGCTTGTTTTGCTTCCAGAACCTGTCCACCTACCTCTAGTTTCCCTGAAACCAGGAGTTCAGATTCCTCTCCTTTTGCCCATTGTTAGGGGAAAACCTCCATTCCCTTGCCTCCTGTTTCCTCCAGGGGTCTCACCCCATAGCTTACTCCTTCCCAGGGGCTGCAGAGCGACTGAGTTTGGGACAAGAAATCAAAACAGGCTCACCTCGCCTCAGCCCTCTTGGGCATTCTCTGTTTTGAAGTCAGTCTCCCTAAAGAGACTTCTAATGGTCTCACTGTGAAGTGATAAGTCAGTTATCTAGTTTAGGGCTGAGGTATAAGTTCACAGACACACCCCACACCCCCAGTCCAGCTATTATTGGGAATAAAGTTTGCATTTTGGACCCTTGTACTTCCGTCTTAAGTTACATTCTGGTTCGAACTTGGGAAGGGAAAGGAGGGATGACATCCTACAACCCCAACATCTTCCCAAAAAGTCCCCAGGTCAGTGCCAGGCTGGGAGTCATTCATTGTGTAGTACCTATGGCCAGTAAAACATCCCACACCACCATTGCCTGACAAGCACCCCACGGAGCCCGCTAACAGGACACAGGGTGAAACAATAATGTGGAAGGGGCTCACTGACAGGCTCCAACCTGTGCCACCCCACACAGATCACCAAGGAACTTCGCTTTTTCCTCTGCTCTACACATACCCCTGCTCAAGTATCAGGCTTTGGGACCTACCAGACCTGCTTCCCAGCTCATATTCTACAATTTAAAAATAGCCTGTATAGACCTTGGACTTACAATTTTTTATGTGAAGAAATGTGGTCACAGCACATAACAAGAATCACTCTGAGTCATCTCTTCCGTACACTAGCATCACCAGCCAGTGAACCCTGAGCACCACGGTTAGCAGCAGCTGGTGACCAGAGACCTCCGCACGTCTTACACATGGACTCTGTGATGTGTTTGGGTTCATCCTCACTTTCCCTTCTGCAAACAGCTTGTGATGTCAGTGGTACGTGAAGCCATGCTGATAGCTAAATAATGTAACCTGACAGTTCTGGAGCTAGAGAAGTGACCCACTATATCCAAGCGGATGTTTCTCAAAAATGTAGATGACCTGGGGCGCCTGGGTGGCTCAGCCGGTTAAGCGGCTGCCTTTGGCTCAGGTCATGGTCCCAGGGTCCTGGGATCGAGCCCCACATCAGGCTCCCTGCTCCGCGGGAAGCCTGCTTCTCTCTCCCCCTCTTCCCCCCAACCCTGTTCATGCCCTCTCAAAATAAATCAAATCTTTAAAAAAGAAAAAGCCACATCCCCCTCCTCCCCCTATAATCACACCCCTCCTTCCTCCACCACTGTTACCGAGGTTATATGTAAACAACCCTGGAGAGTACAGACTGAGGTGTCTCCTAAGTGCACTACCATCCCCTAACGCCCCCACATTCCCCATCATTCTTTCTCAAGGAACAAATTCTTCCAACACATGCCTCTCTGGGTCACATTCTTTTTCAAGACCATAGCCCTGGACTGTGTCAAATGACCTATTTAAAGGAAGGGCCATCATTGGTCCAGATGAGGAAACAGACAGCAACCATCCTTCCTAGTGCCACTTTTCAGTCCACGCTAGAGAAGTGTTGGTCTAGATGACCTAAAGGCCTGGGCAGAACACACATGAGCAGGCTGTCCCTGACCTCAGCTACAGCACCCCTGCCACAGGCCAGAGTCCACTCCTTTCACCTGTCCAACAACTGCATGGGAAGCCTGGAGTTTCCAAGTCCTTCACCCCACCCACAAGAGTGAACATTCAATGAGGAAGTGATGGTCCTGGAGTGTCTTCACTTGCCCCAAAGGGCAGCCACGAGATTTTGCCTTTGGGCTGAACTGCACGCCTGGCTGGCTGGAGACAGGGAGCATCGTGGGCTGAGGGCCCCAGGAACACGCAGCCCCCACAGGACTGGAGACCACTCAGACTCATGCTGACCTCCCAGATCTGCTGCCTAAAGGAACAGGGGAGGCCTCTGCACAGCGGTGAAGACTCAGACACAGCTCCGGGAGGACACCCACTTGACAGACAATGCCAAGGAAGGCTTTAAAGGACCCCATGCTCCTATTTACCTTATAGGCTTTCACAAACCGGACAAAGACAGGAAAGAAGACAGAGGGTGGTGTCGTCTTGGGGTTTTCTCCAAAATACTTTACCACATCATCAAAAGCGTCCTGTAAAGAAGCAAACTCCTCTTAAGTTTCATAAGGTCCAGCATGTGAACTTGAACCCTGGGGGAAGAGCAGCAGAGCAGTAGGGAGGCTCCAGCCACCGCCACAGCTCTCCCATGGCCCCCTCATGCTCCCATGACCCTCTCCGGCCTCTGGTGTCCTCTGAACGCCTAGGCTAAGAGAGCGGAAGGCAATAGTGCCGCACAGGACTCATCTTGGGGACCACCTGCACTTCTACACACCGCCTCTCTCTCTCTCTCTCTCTCTCTCTCTCTCTCTCTCTCACACACACACACACACACACACACGAGGAACTACTCCTTTCAAGAGCTTCCTAAGGCCATGGCAGACAAGGGTTAGAAGGGATC